GTACAGGAGCAAGAAAATGCCATCTAAGAAACTGGCGAAGTCCACGTGTGAAAGGGAACTTTGCGCCCTCTACAAGGCACTTATCCACTGGAGGCACTATCCCTCTACAAGGCACTTATCCACTGGAGGCACTATCTGTTGGGATGGTTCTTCTATTTGAGAACCGACCATTAGACACTCTCGGACGCACTCAAACACTGGATTGACGTCATAGACCAGTATGACTTCAAGCTAGACGACCTGAAAGGAGAGTATAACAAGGTTGCAGATGCATTGTCCGGTAGGGCAGGCTACAAAGGTGCGCTAATTACCGAGTTTGTCTTAACTGACGATGTCACTCGGTCCTTGGTGGAAGCCTACAAGGAAGACACTGTCACGATGGACATCTTTCGCAAATGAGTTTGTGATGGTGGATGGTTTCTTTTTCTTGAAAAGGCAGGATTCACAAGGTTGGTTGTCCCACCTTGAGAAATTTTGCGTAGTTTATTTTTAGGTGAGTGCCATAATGCAATGGGACATTTCGGCTACAAGAAGACTTTTGCTAACTTAGTACAGCGATTCCGGTGGCCTAACATGCCGGCCAATGTAAAGAAATATGTGTAGACTTGCCAAGTTTGTCAGCGGGACAAGCCGTGGACTCGAGGCCTGCTTGGGTTATTGAAGCCCCTATCCATTCCTGCTGGTCCAGGACAGAGTGTTTCCATGGATTTCATGGATACCCTAGTGACCGGGAAGAATGGCAAAAGGCATATCTTCGTCATACTGGATAGGTTCACTAAGTCCGCTAGACTAATCGCCATGTCGGAGACTGCTAGTTCTGAGCACGTCATCAAGTTGTTCATGGACAATTGGGTGTGTTACTTTGGACTGCCAAAGACTGTTGTTAGTTATAGAGATGTCCGGTTTACTTGTGAGATGTGGAAGAAGGCCGTTGAACAGATGGGCAGCCAGCTTCAAATGACTTATGGGAATCATCCCAAAGCAAGTGGCAGGCTGAACAAATGAACCGTATGGTGCAGCATCTGCTGAGGCATTACATCAAGCCCAGCCAGAATGACTGGGATGAAAAGTTACCTCTCATTGTCAGTCTGTACAATAACGCTGTAAACAACACCACCGGGGTCACCCCAAATCAGCTGCATCTGAGATGGAAGCCTAGATCTGCTCTAGACTTCCTCCTGCCTGAAAACTGAACTGCTGCAACTCCTGGAACCATTAAATTTGGTGTCCTGTATTAGAAATTGTTGCAGTAGACTGTCGAACGCATCAATAAATCTCAGGAAGCTATGATTGCTTCTGAGAATAAACGTCGCAGACAGTCTCCACATTTCAGGTAGGGGAACGTGTCTGGGTCAAGGCTAGTTAGTTGGGACAGGAGTTTGGCATCTCTAGGAAACTAATGCCTCAGTATTTCGGTCCCTGGAAGTCTTAGAGATTGTGGGGAATGATTTGGATGGTCCCTCGTACGCTATTCGTATCCCTGGTCACCTACGCACTTATCCTGTTTTTCACGCCTCCAAGCTTGCACCTTTCGCTGAGACACCACGGTTCCCATCACGGAGATCTATGCTGCCGCCAACCATGGATGGCCAGGTGGACGTCGACGATATCCTGGAGCACAAAGACATGCCTGTTTCCAAGCCAGCTGGAAGGGATAGGCCGCCAAAACGTGTGAGAGAATACGTAGTTCATGCATCATGCATCATACGGATCCCAAGGAAGATCGATGGTTTACAAGGGAGGAACTGGTCAAGACAGCTCCTCAGATCGTGGCCGAGTATGAGAGGAAATTGAAGGGGAAGGCACCACCATAAAGCATCTCAGCGGACTTTCGAAGCTAAGGGGAATGGAATGCGAGGAATGAGCCCTCACGTGTCCCCTATCAGACATACGCATGTTCTGGGTAGAGCCCCCAGCAAGCCGAGTGCCCGCCCTAAGTGAGGGCGGGCCTGAATATTCATTGGAGGCCAAAATTCGATGTTTGTCATATATGGGTATTCACGCCCTTGCGGCATGCTAGTTGGTTGAGTGGACTAGTGAGCCTCACTAAGCTGTGTCCTACAGTTGGCCCAGGCTTTGGCAGGTGCGCCTGGGCACATACACACAAAGTAGGGCCGATACATCTTGAAGTGGCCACAGGCCTATGCAAAAGCAGTACTGTCGACGTACCTACCCCGGGGTCATGTGCAAAATGCAGCAAACAGCCCAAGTCTGGAAACCGAGGTTGTGCCCAACTGTAAAGGGCCGAGGCCCTCAACTGTAGTCTCGGGTTTGGGCGCAGGTACTGGGGCCCAACAGGAAGCTCCTGGAAGCTTCCAGCCAGGCCACACGCAGCAACGCAGCGGATGCCACTTCCATATAGTAAGAAGAGCAGCCAGGGCCTGGGTATTCTGGCTCGGGCAGGCAATGCGGTCACGCTGCGGCGCTGCTGCGTTAGAGGCTGCGTGCTGCGTTGAGGCTTGAGTGTGTGCGGGCGCTTGTGTGGTGAAGTTGGGCGGTACAAGGCAGCGAAGCGCTAGCAGCCATAGCCTGGCTGCAGGGCGATCGGTGGTCTTCAGGAATGAGGCGAGTGTGGGTGGACAGGGTCTCTTACATGCCCAGTTGGGCGATGTACATAATAACCGAGGATCCGCAATGTGATAAAAAGGACTGAATGGACAATGCAATGCAAGTAGGATCTCAACAAGCAATGTGCATTCCGATACATACGAAATGGTGCTTTATAGCGCAGGGAAGACTTAGATACAACACTTGACCTGACCGAGACTGACCTCTGTCACGTAGTACAAGATAGCGAAGCAGAATGCTAGAATACTGATGACTAGCCCAATCAAGGTTTCAACGCAGACCAAACATACATCATGCTCATCACAAGGTGTGGAGCCTCGCGCTATTACACAGGAAGGAAGTGCCAGGCCCAGACATATACAAACGAAGAGGAGGGGATCAGACGAAGAAGAGGGGGAGAGATGGGAGTGTCGTCAACACCAAGTCTTTGTCGGAAGTCCCAAATAATCCCTCGTCAAAATGTTCGAAGCCCAAAAGTCGAGTCTGGATCCAATGTTACCAAGCTCTCTCTCTCTCTTTCTCTCGTAGTCTGCTGATGCAGTGAAGTCAGATAATGAGAGGGTGAGAGGGAGATGGTGGACTGAGAAGAGGAAGAAAGCTCTCTCTCTCACGAGCCAGGTACTAACCTGTGAAGTTGGCGCTCTGTTGGAGGTACCTCGAAGACGAAGTTGGAGCAACGGCGCTGCAGGTAGGTACTCCTGGCCTCCGCCCAATCTCTCTCTCTCTAGTACTATCCTAGCTATGGAGCCCAACGCTGAAGACTACAGCTACCTACTGACGCCCAGCGTTGAAGACTAATGCTAACGCTACTACTCTTGCAGCGCTCCCTCCAGAGTACTGTTGCCGAATCCTGAAGACTACGGACCTCCTCCTGGCTACCCGTGAAGTGCATGGGAAGTGCCTATGTACTATCTCGGCTTGCCTCCCGACTGCCTCCGATTGCTTGCAGCGGCAGGGCGGGCAGTCCAGGAGGCTGCTCTTGCCAATGCCGAACTGAGCCAGGGGCTGACGCTGCAGCTGTCGTGGGAACAGGCCAAAAATAGCCCGTTACTAAAACCTTGGTTCGGTGCTTGAGTTTTAGGGCAGGCCGGTCTGATGATATTGGTTTTCAGGCTTTCGGCATGAGGGACGCAGGGCCTGCAAAATGGCCCTCGTGTGCAGGCGCAACATGTAACACCCCCCCTCCTTATGAAGTCAAGTCGGGGCGAGGGCGAAGCCGAGGATCTGAAGGTGGAACCTGGACGCGGGCGTGGCGTGGAGCCGAAGAGACCGACTTGCCTTGCATCTTGTGTTTGTAGCGTGCGAGAACGTCTGGAGCTGTTGCTTGAAGTTCCGCACGGGTCAACCAACGGCCAGCTCGGTGTGTGCAGTATGCAAAATGCACCAAATACTCGGTTGGCCTGTTGCTGTAGCGTCGCTAGGAGATGATGTCGCCGACCTCCTGAAAACCGTCCATAGAAGGTGGGTCTTGCGAACGTCTCCCGGGAAAATCGTCATGTTCCGCTGGCGTGTAAAGAGCCAACTTGGAACAATGAAAGACAAGGTAGACGGGCAAGTGGGCGGGCGCCTGAATCGTGAACGAAGGTCCCTCGGGTGCGTCTCCAGCGGGTGCTACGATCGGCCAAGGCCTCATCCATTTCGGGAGGAGCTTGCGAGAGATATCTTGTTCAAGGCTGAATTCCGCGGCGGAGACCCAAATGAGATCGCCGGCGCGGAATGGGCAAGGAAGACCTGGCGATTGGCCTGCTGGCTCATGCGTTGCTGCGTCTTGGCCATCTAGTCGCGTGCCTTGACAAGTAGCTCTTGCATCCGACGCAAGAAAAGAAGATGGTCGTCGCTCTCGGTCGTTCGTGGAGTGATGGTGTCCAACAGCGACGTGACCGGCGAGCCGTGCTCGAACTCAAGAGGCGATATCGCGATAGCCGGGTGGATGGAAGAGTTGTAGGCTAACTCGACATCCGGCAGCCGCTCAACCCAGTCCTTCTGGTCAAGACGGATGAGAGTGCAAAGGCGAACCTGTGCGGTTTGGTGCGCCCTTTTCGTTTGGCCATCGGTTTGAAGGTGGCGAGCTGAACTGGGCTTGAGAGATAAGCCCCATCGCTCGATGAGTGCCAACCAAAAATCAGACATGAACCGAGTGTCGCGGTCGCAGACGATTTCCTTGGGGTAACCCTTGGTTCCAATCCAACCGGCGAAGAGAACCTCGGCCAACTCCGGTGCCGACAAGGCAAAAACATGGCGAACTTGGTGAGTCGGTCGATCACCGTGAGAATCCCATGCACTCTGGTCTTGTGCTTGGGGAACGGGCCGGTAATGTCCATGGCAATTTTGCTTCCCTTTGCCTCAATGGGATCGGTAATGGTCGTAACTCGCCGTACGGACGATGGTTGCGGGATTTGCAGCGTCGACAAACCCCGCATGACTGGCAATAGCGTGTGACGTCGCCGAGAAGGCCGGGCCACCAGAACCGCTCACGAAGTCGGCCAATCGTGCGATTGACTCCAAAGTGTCCAGTGGCGGGAGCATCGTGGAACTCGCCAAGAAGCCGCGTATGCAAGTGAGGATCACTCGGTACGCAAAGAAGGTCATTCCCCCGTGTGTGGACAACCAAGTACCCGTGTTGGATCCGGTAGTGAGAAGGCGCCGGATAAGGAGAGGAGCAATTCGCGTACTTGTCGCGAAACTCGGGGTCGGCTTGGTTCCGCGGATGAAGAGCATCCGCAAAATGGTCAGACTTCTCGGGAATGTGATCTGTAAAGAAGTCGAACTGGTCGATGAAAGCCGTTTATCGAGCGATGGTGTTGTTGACGGTGTTTTGGGTCTTATAGAAGACCAACGGATTGTTGTCCTTTGCCCATCGGAATTGGCTTCGACCAAGGAGGAAGTGTCGCCACCGTTTGAGTGCGTGGACGAAGCCGAGGAACTCCTTGCGTGCATCGTCAATGGAATGCACGACGGGTACTTTCTTGCTGAAATACTCGACCGGGTGCCAGTCCACACCATCATGTTGCTCGAGGACGGCACCGATGCCATAGTCGGACGCATCCGTAGTGACGCGCGTAGGCAAAAACGGGTCGTTTATGCGCATGACCTCCGCAGATAATAGCGCGGCTTTGAGAGCCAAAAGTGATTCCCGCGCCTCTTCTATGAAGTCAAACAGTCGATCCTCGCATTGAAGCTTGGTCAAGTGGGCTGTGATCGTCGAGTAGCTTTTGCTGATAGTAGCCAGCGAGGCCAAGGAACGAACGAACATCTGTGACCTTCGGAGGCTCCGGCCACTTGTGGATGGCTTGAATCTTGTCCGATAGCGGACTGATGCCCTCCGGTGTCACAAAATGGCCCAAGTATTCCAACTCTTGCCGGACAAATTCGCCACTTGTCGCAGTTGGCCTTGTACTTGGCGAGGCGGAGCGTCTCCAACACTCGTTGAAGATGCCGAAGGTGATCCTCCAATGTCCGGCTGTAGATGAGAATATCGTACAAGTAGACCAACACGAACCGGTCCAACATTGCACGAAACTCGTTGGTCATTGCCGCTTGAAAGGTCGTCGGGGCGTTGGTGAGGCCAAAAGGCATGAACAAGCACTCAAAATGCCCGTACCGCATCTTGAATGTGGATTGGTAGCGATGATTCGGCCGGATCGAGATTGATGATATACCGATTTCAAATCCAACTTAGAAAAATACTTTGCGCCGCCCAATCGCTCAAGAAGATTGTCGATACGAGGAAAAGGCCCCGCATTCTTGACGGTTTGCGCGTTGAGCTTGTGGTAGTCGATACACAATCGTTGATCCTTGTTCTTCTTCCGAACGTAGAGAACTGGTGCTCCATATGTGAAGTTACTAGGGCGGATCCAGCCCTTGGCCAACAAGTCGTCGAGTTGTGCGTGGAGGACCTCAATTTCCTCCTCGCTCATCCAATGGATGCAACCTTTTGGCGGCACGACACCGGCCTCAAGAATGATCTCGTGAGAGATCGGCCGATCCGGTACCACACCGGTAGGTGACTCGAAGATGTCGGCGAACTCGTCGAGCAACCGCACCAATCGGGGGTCCGAAGACAAGTCCGTGGGTGAAGAGTCGGCTACCGCGACGGTCCGTAGGAAACATAGGCCGATTTCCTCGGGCTGCTCGGAAGCGCAAGTTGCTCGGAATGATTTGGTCGTCTCCACTTGGCACCGAATAGAAGGGTGCGGTAGAGGAATAGTACACGCCACTTCGGCGCCGAAGGCGTCGCAAATGCTAAGAGTCCGCCGGTGGAAGTTGACCGTGTGATCCGCACTTGCAAGCCAAGGCATTCCCAGAATGATGTCAAAGTCCATGTCCAAAATGTCGAACGTCACCGATTTGCATGCATGAGGTGCGAAATACACCGGTACGACCTCGATGTAACGGTTGAGAAGTTGTTGCGTCTTTCCATCCGCCAACTTGATCGCCGTAGGGTTTGCCTTCCTCCGAACTTGTGCGCCAGGCCAGCCCTTTGCATAAAGGTTTGGCTCATGAAATTGCGAGACGCGCCGCTATCCAGCAAAGCGCTGCAGGACACTTGCCCAACTTGGATGTGGACATACATGAGGAGTGTGTTGTTGTCATCGTACCGCTGCGTGCGAAACTCGCGGGCCACCTTGGTAACATACGCAAGGATGTCCCCCACCGCGACTTCGTCATCCGTTGGCGAAGTTGGTAGTGCATAAAAGGATAAGTACGTGTAGAGATGAGCGCATAGTGCTGCGCATTGCGGTCCCGACAGGTGGCCAGTGGTCAGGAGAGAACCATGCGAAGTCCTCGGACGTGAACGGGTCCAATACCTCTATGTTGAACTCGCACACCGAATCCTGTGAAGAACCACTTGAAGACGATAAGTCGCCGCTGCCGGGCGGAGAAGATGCCTCACACAGTCTTGTCCTTGAGCTTGAGTACCCAGCGTAGGAACGAGCCGGGCAGCATGTTCCTCAAAAGAATACAAAGAGGAGGACTATCGACTTCCGCATGTGCCTTGGACCGAAGGGCGGTCACCCGCGAAGCGACCTGTTCCAAAGGCGTCGAGAGTGTCGTCGAGTCACTCTCGGTGGTGCTTGGTTTCCCGATTTGCCCTTGCCTTTCAACAGGCAGACTAGTGTCTCATGGAGATCCTTGTTGCACCATAGGCAGTAGTGGAATCTCGTGCGCGCCTTGAATGCTTGCTCAGAGATGCCGTTTTGGGACCATGGGGCTGGAGCTGGTGCGCCGGGCTCGGGGCTAGATGTGGTGTTTGTCTTCGTCTTGCCTGGTCCTCGGTCTTTGTCGGGGCGGCCACCTTCTCGGGCGGCTGCAAGTCTGTCCCCTTCATTGGCAAACACGGCCTTGCTAGTTTGAGAGAAGGTTAACAACAGTCATATTTTTCATCACCACTTCAGGACACCCTTCACCACTTCAGGATGTAGCCTGCCTAAACAGGTGGTTTTCAGGGTCTTCGAAACTTTCACCACTTTAGGACCATTCAGGTCTGAAAATCTTGAATGGTCCTGAAGTGGTGAAAGCTCCGAAGACCCTTAAAACCACCTGATTAGACAGGTTGCATCCTGTAAGTGGTTTTCAGGGTCTTTGGACCTTTCACCACTTGAGGACCATTCTATTTTGAAAAGTCTGAATGGTCCTGAAGTGGTGAAAGTTGCCAAGACCCTAAAATCCACCTGTTTAGGCAGGCTGCATCCTCAAGTGGTGAAGGGTGGTTTTCATGGTCTTCGGACCTTTCACCACTTCAGGACCATTCAGGACTTTCAGACTGCCCAAAACTCTCACTTGACCACTTCAGGACACCCTTCACCACTTCAGGATGCAGCCTGCCTGAACAGGTGGTTTTGAGGGTCTTCGGACCTTTCACCACTTCAGGACCATTCATGATTTTCAGACTGCCCAAAACTCCCACTTCAGAATTTTCATTCCTGAATTTTCAGCTACCCGTTAACCGCTTGTGGCTAGTTTGGTCAAACGGCGTTGCTGCCGCGACCACGACCACTCTTGGCCGATGCTGGTTTCTGCTCGGTCCTGGCGCAGACGGACGCAGGTTCTTAGCCTCCTTGTTCGTGATGATAATTTGCGCGGCCTTGTCAAAGAGTTCCGCTGTTGTCGTCAAGGTGTCCTCGACGTGAGTCAGGGCATTGCTTAATGTCGGACATGGCCTTGAGATGAAATAGTGGCGGATGGCTTTGAAGCCCATCTGGATGTCTGGGACTGATGTCAAGCGTTGGTACCCGGCAATCCAGTCGACACTCGGCAGCGTGCCTTGTTTGAAGACCATAAGCTTGTGCATTGCCTTGATCTCCGACGGCTCTACTTGGAATTGGTTGTGCCACGCCGCCTTCAGATCATCCCAGCTGATCTTGGTCTGCAAGTCTGCAGCTACTACTCCGTACTTGGACAAGAGATTGTCCGCCATGCCTGGCACGTGCCCCCCGACCGGGAGTACAAGTACTCGTGATGCTTGTGTTCTTTGATGTAGTGTATCTGCAGCGTGAGCTCGAACTTGTGGAACCATGGAATCGGATCTGTCTTCGTCGAGTCGCAGAAGATCTCCTGCCCGTCAAACTTTGGAGCTGTCTCGCGCGGTTCCGAGCTCGAGTTGCTGGCGGCAGTAGAGATGTGCTGCTCCAAATGTTGCGTTTCGGTCTGCTGTAACTGCACGCCGTCCTTGAGGGAGCCGACGTCCATCTCAATGCTTCGAGGCGATCGGAGGTGTTGGAAGAGCTGGCATCGGGGGCGGTGACAGGTCGCTGCTCCAGCTGCCGGAGCCGGCCGTGGACTTGAGTCAGCACGTCGTAGAGGCTGTAGATGTCCTCCTGCTGTGTAATGCATGTTGCCAGGAGGTCCGTGAGATGGGAGAGGAGTAGAGCGATCTTGTTTTCGCTATCCTCCATCTTGCCATTCTCGGCCTCGGTCCGCCACTCCGCTCCCATTGTGAGCAAAGTCTGCTCTCCGCTAAATATCTCCTCACGGCGTTGAACTCGTTCTTCATCAGCAGCCTTTGCTGCTGCCTCGTCGTGCTGGCGCTGCTGTTCTAGTGCCAGCAAACGTGCCTGCTCGGCATCCTCTGCCTTCTTCTTCGCTGCGGCTGCTGCCTCATCCGCCCTTCTCTTGGTTTCGGTACTCTAGGACAGCATCCGGGCCTGATAGGCCTCGTCTGTTTCTCCAGACCTCAGGTCCATAACGGCTGTTTGTGAACGCAAGAGCATAGACCACGCCGGGGGCCTGCTAACGTGGTATTCCATGTTGCTGACGTGACACTGCTGTCGGCTGACGTGTCCCGCTGATGTGTCCTGCTGACGTGGCCTGCTGATGTAGTCTGCTGACGTGGCCTGTTGATGTGGCTTGCTGACGTGGCAACTCACCAATGCCGCCGCAGGGGGTACTCGGAGACAGGTAGAGAAGGTAGGGCGAGAGGTGGCAACAACATAGGTGGGGGGAGGGGTGGGTGGGATAATCGCCCAGATAACGCCCAGATAAGGAGCCACTAATCGAAAAAAGTAAGTTTTAACTTTGCAAAAAAAAATTCGAGAAAAATCAAAATCTCGAGTTTTGCAAGTTCAGTAGGTCTCCCAACCTCCCTCGAATTGCGAAACTATCAATGAGAGAAAAAAAATCGAACTTCAGACTGCAAATGATTCATAGAACTGACAAACAAAATTGCAAGGAACATGAATGTGGACGAAGCACAGAAATCCAGATTGCAAAATCACACTATAGTCCAAGTAGTCACAGTAAGAGCAGATAGCACAATGGAACCGAGTAACCATCCATTTGAGAACGATACAGAAAAATCGTGAGTCAATGTCCAAAGCCCAATCGGGCAACACCAACAGCATAACCCAATGTAGCTCTCTCTCTTGAATGGCGCCTTGCGCCCTACCTACTCTACAACCTATTACTACAACTACAGCATGAAAGCAGCCAGACAACTTGATGACCAGCGAGTGATGATGTCAACACCAATGCCGACTTCCTCTTCCACCAGGTACGTCCCACTCTTCACCCTCACTCTTCCTTGTTATCCCACACAACGCCCTTCACCTCCAAATAACCACCTTCACCCTTCACCTCCTCTGCGCCCACAGGCAGCCCGGCTATGGCTGCCAGCGCCCTGTGCCCAGGCAGCGCTCTACCGCTAGCGCAGCCTGCTCCTATCTTAGCCTAGCGCTGCTCTGCAGCTCGCACTTGCGCAGCGTGCCGTTATTGCCCGCAATGGCCAAGATCCCTGCCCACTCGCCCTCCCTGCCTATATGCCAGTGTTGCGTGTGGGCGGCCTCCCTTCAGCCTGTGCCTGGGCCCCAGTACCTGAACCCAAGCCCGATGCGGTTGGGGCCCAGGGAGATGCAGTTGCGCGTCTTTCATCAAGGCCTGCAGCCAAATTCAGATAGTGGACCGGTTTCCCATTGGCATTTTCGGCCTCTATGTCCAGCATGCAT